CCCATCTGTACAGATCTCAAACACCAGGATCAAGTTTTAGTCATTCACCAAACTTTATTTGTTTGTCTCTCAAAAAGAAGATGTTTTTTACATTTTAATAGATTATTATTATGAATATTATTATTATTATTATTATTATGTCCATAACTTGACTTTTTATATGCATATGTTTCTACTACATAATTACACATCTTTATCTTCCACTGAAATAACAATCAGTCTGTTTTTGACAATATGGGGTTGGATAAAATCCTATTCTGTGAGCGAGCAGTGGAACATTTTTTCCTTTTCATAGGTTGTTGATCAGTTACCAGAGTTATCTGTAGGAAAATTTGTGTTTGAGTCAAGCTCTTTGCAGATGGTTGAATTTGCCTGCCTGTGAGTGCACCTGCTCTTTCCCACCATGATAAGAAATACACACTCTTATTTTTAAGTTTACTAAATCAATTAAATGATAATAATAATAATAATAATTAGTATATAATTACTGTATAACAATGACTATATCTATCTATAAGGATTTTGAGGGATTTCTATGGTTGCTGACTACCTGTAAAGAAATCTAACATTTCTCCAAAGTGTTTTTCCATTCCTCAGCACAACATGGTGTACATTCAATCTGGCATTATCAACATGGATTGCTGATATTGGCAGGTAACGTAATGGTTGCCTCATTCTTTCTGAAGGTCTCCCAGTCTCAAACTGATATAAATAGTTAAACTGCCTCTGTGACTATTCTTCAGTGCGCCAACATGATTGGGTTTGTGGTTCTTCTGTCCTTCATTGGTAAGTTTTCAAAGAAATAAACCAACACAATTTACAATAGACTTTTTAAATGCTGTTTTGTGAACATGAACGTCACCATTGTACTCTGTTCATATTTATGTGTGCACCAAAGGGCTGATTTGTGCTGAAGCACCCTTCAACCATAATGTGCACAATCAGAGGGTCATAGGAGGCCATGATGCTCCTCGCAACGCCTGGAAATGGCAGGTAAAACCTCTAAGAACTATTAAATTGAACTAAAATACTATATGCAGTGCTTTCATTTAAATGTTCAATTCAGTTTTTTATGTGCTTTGGAATTTTCTTATTTCTCTTATTGAGCGAATTAGTTTAAAAATCGACCCACTACTCCTCATATTACTGAATGACTTCTGAAATAACATTAAATCCTGAACCTTATCAGTGTGTATTTGGTCTCTGTATTCCCTCAGGTTTCTCTCCAGCAGGACGCATACAATGATGGTTACTACTACCACCTCTGTGGAGGCACTCTCATTGATCCTTTCCACGTTATGACAGCAGCTCACTGTATCCTCAGGTTGGGTCTCTCTCTGGTCGTTATCTTATGCCATCAATACACACCTACATATATTTGTACTTATACATGTAACATGGGGTAACGTTATCCAGATGTTTAAGCATAATGTGGTTTTGTTTCTTATGCTCCTGTCAGCATGGATGCTAGTACGTACCGTGTGGTGCTTGGTGAGTATAACCTGTATGAGTACGATGGCAGTGAGCAGTTCCACCGTGTGACAAGGATTACTGTCCATCCTGGGTGGACTGGAGACCTTGCCAAAGGGTAAAATGACAGCAAGTCTTAATCTAACCACAATTTAAAAAGGCAGCCTATTCAATGTTGAATGACATTTTATTAACCATGTTTTGTTGTCTATTAGAAATGATATTGCTATCTTGAGACTGGCTGATTCTGCGTATGACAACGGCCATGTGGCTGTTGCCAACCTGCCCGGACCCGGTCAGACCCTGCCTCATGACTTCACCTGTTACATCACCGGCTGGGGACTTATGGACTGTGAGAAGACGCCCATGCACACATATAATATATGCCCATGCACAACATTTATGTATATCTCATATAAATATCCTGCACTCTTTTCACAGACATGGGGAGCGTCCCTGCCATTCTGCAACAGGCTGCCATCCCGGTGGTGGCGCATTCAGTCTGCTCCCAGCCTAACTGGTGGGGCAACATTGCTCTGGAAACCATGGTGTGTGCTGGAGGGGATGGAGTCATATCCGGCTGCCAGGTACAGCAAACATATGTGTGCATCTGCCTAATGCAAGAATGTTCTGTCCTGAAACCAGTTTGCCTCACCTAAGACTAGCATTTATATATATTTTTGTATTTTTAGAATATTTTGGGTCTCATTTCTGTTTCTTATTATGTATAATAATTATTTATTCTGTGATTTAAATTGATCTTCAACAGTCAACATTAGCTACATTGTCAGTAACCAAAGATTATAATTCTGACAACAATGCCAGCTATTGCCACCCAGCAGATCTCTGCCTAAGTGAAAACTGTATAAAATAGGCTGAATAAGAGGTAATGTCCTACTTGTTAATGCACGTGTCTTCAAACTGGACTCTCTCTTCTTGTGTCTGTTCTTATTGCTACCTGTCCCAGGGCGACTCTGGAGGTCCCCTGAACTGTTTCACCAATGGAGACTGGAGAGTCTACGGTGTTGTCAGTTACGGTCCATCTGGCATGTGCAACCAAATGACTAAGCCCACCGTCTTCACCAGAGTCTCTTCCTTCCAGGACTGGATCTATTCAGTAGGCCTCCACAATGTGCTTCTCAAAATATCACCATATCTGTCTGCATATTTCAGTTGCTTGACTTTTATGTCTCTGTCTGTTTTTTTTTCTCCAGGTTTTGTAAAATCTACACAACAATCAACTGTCACATGGAACCAGTAAAATAAAATGAATATGGTCTTAGTTATGTGTGTCTTATATACTTATTTACTTGTAGTTCTTAATTTAGCCAAAGGAGGGCGATAGTGGTTCATGTTTAGACCTAAAAAACCCTCTGACTCCTCTCAGGTGTTTCTTGGCACTCTTCTACGCTCTCTCTTTCTCTTCTACTTTCTCACAGTCTCAGAATTGTTTTGCTTATTGGATACATTTTTGTGTTGATGATTGTAACCAGTCTACAAATGGGGCTACAGTTAAAGGGTCATTGGGGCGAATACCAGCAAAAGTAGGAGTGGTTACAATGTGGATCCCTTTGACCTGTATGGAACATTCTTCAGGAAGTTTTAAAGCAAAGACCAAAGGGACTGGACTTCTTTCAGCCTAAAAAGGCTTAAATGACAGTGTGGCATGGAGGTAAACCCTTTTAATGTCAGAATCAAAGAAAAACCAAAAAAAGAACAAGAACTCGCAACATCTACCTAAAGACTTAACAAGAACCAAATTTTCTTAATGGTGGCCAAATGTGAGCTATAAGCAGTCACTGCCAGTCAGGGGTTTCTGGCCATATGTTTGTGGTTGGTAGTCAGGAGACTATGACATGACATCACATGAAGTGTTTTTCCTTTAACCATGGTGACCAAAAGCCACAGATGAATTCCAGTGGTTCTCTCTCTCTCTCTCTCTCTCTCTCACACACACTAAAAGAATTTCAATGCATCTAATGTGAGCAGGAACTGTCTACTGCCTTTAATACTAAAGAAAATATTATTTTAGTGGACTAAAACATGAAACAATTAAAAATATTTTAAGTTAGGAAGCCAAGACTACATAGAGTATTTCAATGTTTATATTACTAAGGTTTATGATGTAGTTCCCTTTAACAAATCTGCATAAGAGAAACAACAGAGTCAAGCATTTAGAAAATGTTTTTTTTTATTATTATTTGGAGGGACAGGCTGTCAAAATGGCTTAGATGAAAGAAACTGTTTTTTGAACAGCAGGTTAAAGTGTGAATATGTAAAAAATAAAGCAGCTTTGTTTGCTCTGCAGGACCATTCAAGCAGAAATATGTACAACACAAAAGGCAAAAAGTAAGACACGTTCTTTGAAAAAAAAAAAATTTAAAAAGCTGTACTGTAATACATTACATTGATAAACACTCACTGTTGCCATTTCTTCATGAGAATTGATGTTTTATACAAGAGAAACAAATGCTTGCTTGCAAAATTCAGTGCCCTCTTCATGGCATAAGAACATATATCGGATGGATTTCAAAGTAATCAAAAAGGCAAAAAGCGAATAATACATTTCCAATGTGCACTCAGCACTTTTCAAAGTATACAATTAATCAGAACAAGTTTTAACAAACAGGACCTGCATGCATAATTTCTAAAGGGTCCAGAAAGGCTGTTGAAACAGCTGTAGAAAGGGTGAGATATGTACATCAACTCTCTAGTGTCCTCAACTGTTCACACAGGTGACAGCAGAATCACCTTTGGAAAGTCTTGTTCTATAATTGACGAGGCAACTCTTCAATTTTCAGGGTTTATGTGTGTGATAAAAAATGTATAATATATGCAGTTTTTATCCACAAAAATCCCTTTACATGTGTATTTTATAACGTAATGTAACCCAAGTCACAGACTTCCAAACAATTCAGAATACAATCAAATTGATCTTTGCAATTTACTTAGTTTTAGTGGCATTTCGCTAAGATATCAAACCATAAGACTGCCTATTAAAAATACTTCAGAATGCTAGAGAGCGATAACCTTCATAAGTATACATTTCTCTATAATTCATATATTACAAAGGTTGTCCCAGATTGAAAATTACTCATTTTGCTTTATTAATAAAATATTCAATTTGTCAGTGATTAGAATTCTTTTGTCAACCTACATAAATTAGTTACAAAATATTAGTGTAATTTTCTATGGTTACATTATAGGCAGCGATACAATAGACCCATAATTTAGTTTCAGTGATTAGGGAGATTCCACAGTTTTCAGTCCCAAAGCTTAAATGGAAGCACTGTGCACACACCATCGGCAGGCATGGCTCCCCTGATAAGCAGGCACATCCAGTAAACTTCACAACACCCCATTTTATTGCCAAAATGTCTTAAATTAAATAACTAATGAAATGATGACATAATAAGTTACCAAAAAAAAAGTTAAATGTAAAAGCGAATAGATATTAAATACTTTCTGATGGACTTGTGGTCCCATTTCCCATAACAACGCCTAAATGTGATATGGAAAAAAGGAAGGAAGATTGCACTTTCAGGTGAAAATATCAAACCACAGTGCTTCTTGAGTGAAAGTAGGCTTTATCTGAAATAAATAAAATAAAATCATAAAAGGAAATAATTTAAAACAAAACTAATAAAGACAATACAGCTACAGCTTTTAAATGGTATGAGCATTATTTCTAGTTACCCGGCTCATAAATAAGAAACTCCATAATTTAGCGTTGAACTGTTGAATCGACCCCATACAACCAAAACAATGCCTATTCATACATAACTATTTTCACAGATAAAGTGCTGATCGAGGAGCTTTTAGGGGGATTTTTTTTTATTGTACCATAAGAGATCTTGAGGAGAATGAGTCCACTAGCTTCAAGATTCAGCACATGGACCCTACCTACTCAAGTCATCTGGGTGTAAGCCCAAAGGGAGCACATGAACTATGTTGTGATTTGACTCGGGTTTCATATGAAGGCCATCACAGCAATGGTCACCATACATTGCCTCCAAAAGCTAGAAAGCTAGAAAAAATCCCTGAGGTGCACATTCAGCTGTGTTGAGATTCCTTACCTGGCCCCGGTTAAGGTTGATTCCTGTTTAGCATATGGTTGGTGATCTTGGTTTGGTTAAAAGAGCTTTCTTAGGAATTGAGAGCCATCATTGGTTTTTATGGGCCTGGTCAAATTGATCTCTGTTTTGTATCTTTTCACTTTTAAAAATTAGCTGCCATCTCACACAGCAATACTCCCAAACTGCTTTGCTAACGTTTTGAAGGCAAGTCTGGAATTTGAACATTTATTAGGCAAGAGGGGAATCACAGCTTCCTCCCAAATCACACTGACATTGACTTCTTATGTGCATGTTCAGTCCCCTCCCAAATCCCTCTTTTTTCTTGCACTGTCCACAAATTTTCACGTTTTGTCAAACTTTCACAGACTCCATCACAGACAATTTCATGGCTTCCTCCAACAGCTGATTGTCTGTAAATGTGGCAGGGGGTTCTGGGACGGATTCTGAAAGGCCAATCAGTGACTCCAGGAGGCAGGTCCCTGGGTCACTTGCCGGAGGGAAGCTGGGGTAACTAGGCAACTGAAACTGAAAAAAGTTGTCCATGTGTTCATACTCCTTGAGGGAGTTGTAGAGCGAGCTGGGCCCCAAGCAGGGGAAACCGTCAAAGAACTCCAGGTCTGACTCCGAGGAGAGGCTCAGGTCCATGTTATAGCTTGCAGAGTGATCGACGGTGGGGGAGGGTGTGCGTGGCACACTACTGCTATGGAATAGGGCGTTTCCCTGGTTGGCGTTCTCATCCAAAAGTTCTGAGATGGCTGTTACTCGATTGTCTGTATGATCGTCCAACAGTGCAGCGTCTATATTGTCATTCTCGTCAGCAAAGTCCACCATGCTGAAGCTACTAAAAGCCTCCGTAGATGGCTGCTGTTGTTCTTGTCGTTGACCTTGGCAGCACATGTCTTTGTGGTCCCCACCATCCCTGCTGCTTCTCGAGCAGTTCTCTGTGTCGCTGAAACTGAGAATGCGGCTCAGGCCTTTTTCATCGACATCGAGCTGAGTGCGATGCACACAGGGGCTCCCGCCTGTCTCGGAGTCCTCACTCTGACCTGAAGAGTCTGAGTCCGTCATATCGCTGCTGCAACTGTTCTCTCCGGTTGCTGTCTGTTCTGAGCTAAAGGGGAAGGAGGGCACTGCTGGTAAGGAGGTGGCCCCTGTTGTGTTGTCCTCTTCCTCCTCCTCTGTGCTAGACTGCTCCTCCAGCCTCTTTTCCAGCTCCAGCTTCATGATAGTGTGGATGTAATGTGTCTGTACCCTGGTGGAGTTGAACTCAATGCGACCCTCTGTGTTTCCGCAGCCATCCTTGGTGCAACCACATGGGAAAGAGGAATGATCCATCTGTGAGAAGAAGGAAGTAGTTAAATTACTGTGAAATACAGATAAGAAGAAGTCCCACTTGCTTTGTCATTTGGAGCCCTTATTGTTGAACCTGTTTTCAGCTCTTACCTGACATTTGATGCCGGCCAGGCTGCAGCTACACGTCTCAGGCTCGCAGAAGCCCTGGCAGTCACAACCACAGTTCTCCCTGGAGATTCTCAGCTCATGCAGCTGCCTCTTCTCCTCCTTGTCGATCTTCTTCACACCGGCTGCTTTGAGCAGTGAGTAGCGACGTTTAGGCGCGTAAGGCTGGAGGAAAGAGCCCTCCTCCAAGTTGGCTCCACTGATGTCGATGTCCTGCTCGGGGATGTCGTCCACTGTCAGCTGCTCTGCCTCCTCGCTCTCTTGGGTTCCGTTCTTAGTCAGCTGGAGTGAACAAAAGGCAAAACATTTTTTATTGTTGCATTAATTTTGTTTATCCAAATTGTTGGATTTTAACAAATTATCCAAAACACATTGGGGAAAGAGACTCACCTTCAGTTTGAGAGCCTCTAACTTCTCCTCCCTGAGTCTGTTGAGGAGTTTTTCCCGGCGTAAGAGCCGCTGCTCCACAGCAAACTCAGCAAGCGTATATGTTCGGAGCATGCTGTGGCGCTGCATCATGCCCAGAGTGCATCCTCCTCGACTGGGAACACTGGTGAAGCCCTGGCACCGAGGGAAGAAGAACACTGTCACCTGGTCAAACGTCACATTGCCTCTCCGTGCTCTCTTGGATTTCTTTAGGATGGATGTTGCTGTGAATGAAGAAAGGGTAGATTTAGAATACATCTTATCCAAGAAAGAGATGTGTTTTAAACACGAGGGTATTGGAGCTCTCTTATGAACTACCTCA